GCCCAGCCTTCCTTCCGAGGAGTGGCTGGTGGGTTTGAACCACCAGCCTTCTGGTTAGCAGTCAAGTGCCTTAGCCACTATGCTACCAGAGCTCCCGGAGGGTTGAGTAGGCCCTGCAATTGAGATTGTGCAGGTGGTACTGATTCTGATAGTAACAAATTTGTGGCTGTAAACATGGGAATGTGTAGCTAATATGGGATGAAGGAAATGTTGGCTGGAGGCAAGGAATCATAATCTCGTGTAAGTTATCTACCTAGGTGTTTGTTTGATTAAACCCATGTGAATGTCAAAATCACAAAGTGGTGATAGAAGCAGATGTGGAAAGGAGGACATTGCAGGTGTTAGGGGGTGAAGTATTTAGTGACTAAAAAGAATAGTAATAGATTAGTAGATGACAGAGAACAAAAGGATAGCAGGTTGTCTATCTAGATGACAGGAGTTTGAAAGGAGCTAATCATTTGAAGAAGAAAAAGTCATCTGAAAGTACTTGTGTGGATCAAAAGAAACATCCACCCACTTTTTGTCCCCAAAATATGTGGGATTAGACATGAAATGACTCCACCTGAGAGGACTTCAAAAGTGAGATAGCATCAGGGACATCCACTGCTATTAATGCAAGTAGGTAAAGCTCTATTTAGAGAGAGGTTACTGCTGTGGTTTTTAAACATAGGGACTTTTTACCCCAGAAGGACACATGGTAATGTCTGGAGATACTTTCAGTTGTTACAGTTGGGAGTGCAAATGGTTAATTGCTTAGCTGCTAACCAAAAAGGTGGCAGTTGCAGGAAAAGGCCTTGTTGATCTGCTTCTGTAACGATTACCAAAATATCCATTGCCATCAAGTGGATTCCTACTCATGCGGACCCTATAGTACAGAGTAGAACTGCCACACGTGGTTTCCAAGGCTGTAATCTTTACAGAGGCCAGTGCTGCTATAACTTTCGTGAAGCAGCTGGTGGTTTTGAGCCACTGACCTTTCATTTAGCATCCAAGTGATTAACCACTGTTCTATGAGGGCTCTTCTCTGTAAAGATTATATCCTAGAAATCTCTGTGGGCAGTTCTGTTCTGTCACATGGGATTGCTGAGTCCAAAGCATCTTGATGGCACCCAAAAACAACAGTTGGGAGTAAGGGTGTGCTGCTGGCACCTAGTAGCCAGAAATGCTGCTATCCTATAACACATAGGGGAGCCTCTACAGTAAAGAATTATTTAGCCCAAGGTGTCAGTAGTTCTGTGGTTGGGAAACCCTAGGTTAAGGATTTAGGAGCATTTGTTCATTGTAGATAGTTATAGGGGCTTATACTTTATTCTCTTCCAGATTTTTCAGTAATCCCTTTGCTAATTTTTGGTGTTACATACATACTCACTCATTCACATATACACACACATGCAAGATCTTGACTCCCTTATTTCTTGTCATACACAATCTATATTATGGGAAATAACTAATTAGTTTTATGGCTATTTTCAGGGATTCTATAAGATATGTACAGTGAATATACTGTTAAGATAATTAGTCACTTGAGAATTGAGGGATGTGTTTTCTTAAGTGTTCAGTTCTACTTAGGTGCAAGCAGGGTAAGTTTTTTAGGGAAAAAAAAAAAAATTTCCCAAAACCATGTCCTAGGAGACCAGTATATGTTCTCTACTGACCTGAGGGAATGGGGATAAGATAGGCCTCTTTTGCCCTGCTTTGTCACTTTTGATGTCAGACGCAGATTTTGAGATTAGTAAAACCAGCTGATTTTCACCTTGGGGTTACCATAGGTTGGAATCAATTCCATGGCTACTGGTTGGTATTGTTTCAAAGGACTCCCTGGGTAATTCAAAAAGGGGCTCTGGTGGTGTAATAGTTAAGAAAGTTGGCTGGTAACCAGAAGGTTGGTGGTTCAAACCATCCACTGCTATCTGCTTTGCAATAGAAAGATGAGGCAATCTGTTTCTGTAAAGATTTACAGCCTTGGAAACTCAATGGGGGTCTCTGTGAGTTGAAATTGACTCGATAGCAGTGAGTTTGGTTTTTGATTTGGGTGATTCAAATGGTGAATGCATTTGGCTGCTGAGAGGGTGGCAGTCCACCCAGAGGCTCTCGAAAGAAATACCTGATGATGTGCGTTAGACAAAGCAGCCATTGAAAACCCTGTGAAGCACAGTTCTACTCTGGCACACATGAAGTTGCCATGAGTTGGAATTGACTAGATGGCAGCTAGTTTTGGTTTTATTATTTTGCAAGCAGGAAGAGGCAAGAAAATGGCATGGAGTTGGAGTTGAATCAGTGGTAACCGGTTGTGTCCTGACAGAATTTATCATTTACATGTTTGAAATTTAGCTGTTGCAACTCACAGACCTGAGCCAGCTTTTGCACAGCCCTGAGCTAAGAATGATTTTTATATTTTTAAAGTTCTTTTAAAACAAAATAACAGAAAAAGAAAAATATGGGTAGAGATGCCCACAAAGTCTAAAATATTTATTTGATGCTTTACAGAAAAAGTTTGCTGATCTTTGATATAAGATGATATTTCATCTTTTAGCTCTTGTTGTTCTTAGGTGCTGTCGAGTCAATTCTGACTTATAGCAATCCTTTGTACAACAGAACGAAACAATGCCTGATCCTGTTGCATCCTCACAATCATTGCTATGTTTGACCCCATTGTTGGTGCCACTTTGTCAGTCCATCTCATTGAGGGTCTTCTTCTTTTTCACTGATCCTCTACTTTTCTAAGCAATATCCCTCATAATGATTTCCCAAGTACATGAGACAAAGTCTCACCATCTTTGCTTCTACGAATATTCCAGCTGTACTTCTTCAAAAACAAATTTGTTTGTTTTTCTGGTGTCTACGGTATATTCACTATTCTTTGCTAACACCATAATTCCTCAGAAGGAAGGTTGGGCAATCTACTTCCATAGTGATACTACCTCAGCAACCCAAGGAGGGGTTGCTATGAGTCGGGTCCAACTCGATGGCACATAACAACAACAACAACAACAACAACAACAACAACAACAACAACAACACCATAATTCAAATGTATCAGTCATCTCATTTTGGTTCTTACTATGATGTAAATAAATTTTTGTCATAGAATGATAGTACTGTATTCATTAAAAAATGTTTATTGGTGCTTGTTATATGCAAAGACCCAGACTTGGAGAATATTTGCTGGCCATCAGGGTGCTTCTGTTTCAGTAAGGTTTTTGTTAGCTACCATTGAGTCAGGTTGACTCGTGGAGCCACCATGTACAACAGAACAAAATGCTTCCTGGTCCTCTGCCATCTTCTTGATTGTTGGTGTGTTCCAGTCCACTGTTTAAGCCACTGTGTATTTTGAGTGCCTTCACATCTGGGAGGGTCATCTTCTAGCATTATATCAGAAAATACTCTGTTGTGATTTATAGGGTTTCCATTGGCTAATCTTCCGAAGTAGATTGCCAGGCCTTTCTTCCTAGTATATATTAGTCTGGAAGCTCTGCTGATATTTTTCACCATGGATGACCCTGCTGCTACTTGAAATACCAGTGGCATAGCTTCCAGCATCATAACAACATACCAACCCGTACAGTATGAAAAACTGACAGACAGTTGGTGAGTTTAATAAGGTAGGTAGACAATAAATAAATAAACATTACACAAACAATTTTTAAATTAAAGTGATGAATTACACAAAAAAGTTAGAGAAGGATGCCAAAAAAGTGTGTAAGGGGTCATTGAACACTTTACTGGATAAATAATTTTAATCGAAATTTGAAGAATGAGTTGTCTGATTTTAGGGATGGAGCTAGAGATAATGAGGGAGCAGTTTTGACTCTCTAAGGGACTGTAGAGGTTGTTTATTTTCTCCATTGTATTTTTTTGAGTGTGCAAACAAACTAAATACATTTCTGAAGGTTGGAGAGCTAGTAGTGTGAGAAATAGATTAGGAACTGGTCCCATGACTATCAACCCTGGCTGACATTACAAACTTATAAAACACTGATGCCTGGCTCCATCTTAGGTGATTCCGATGGCCCCAGGTGATTCTAAAGTACAGCGAGGATAGAGCACCATTGTTCGTGGTGGAGCTAGGGCCCTCAACCACTGTCCTCTTCTCCTTGTGCTTCTCTTCTGTAGTCCCTTTTAAGGAAATAATAAAAGACTTGAGCTTGTCCTTACCCTAGAGTTATGTTTCTGAGGAACATCTGAGAAAATTTTGAGTTTCTGTCTTTCTCCTCTTCAGGGTGATTTTTTCTTTTTCTTCTTCTTCTGTTTTTTTAACTGGCTTGTTCTTTTCTCTTCTCATAGGTTGGTGCCTTTGCCTATCTCCCATGTCCACATTTCTCACCCCTCCCTATGGTTATGCCTGAGACTATGAATGCCAGTCTGACATTTCTTAGGTCAAATGGTGGCACACTGGGTTACTAGTTACGTTTTCAGAGAAATATCAGCTAGCAGCAGGATAAATACACAGAGGATGGAGGATGACCAATTAAATCCAAAAGCATGGGGGCTTTTTCAGGTGGAAAAGATGTACAATCTAAAACAGGGTCCATTCTCTCCTGGTGCAAGATGTATTTTTGGGTGTGGGGAAGCAAATTGGATCTTCTTTTCATATGTGGCATCTCTGGCTGCAGGCTGCAGTGTTCTCTGAGTTTGAGAGGCTCTTGAACGACAGTCGCCTTGGAAACGACATTACTCCTTCTCTGTGTTTATCTGGCTCCTCTCCTGTGGGAGTGTTTCAAGCCAGGTGATCTGCCAGTGCTCTCTCCTAATGACTGTGTTTCCTCTGCAGGGCGAACTCTGCTAGAGAAGTTGTTTAGCCAGCAGGAGAGTGCGCCTCCAGAAGAAGCAGAAAAGTTCTGCTCCCGGATCATTGCCATGGGCCTTCTGCTTCCTTTTAGTGACTGCTTCAGGGAACCGTGTAATCAGAATGCCCAGTCAAGTTCAGCTTCATTTGATGTAAGTAGGAGAATTTGTTTCTGTCTGTAAGGCAGTTTGCAGTAGAAAGAGCAAAAAGTGGTGCATTTTTTTCCCCATTCACCTTACAATTTGAAAGGTAACATTGTGATAACTCCTTCCTCCTCAGCCACTCAACAGCTGAATATGCCTGTTTCCACATTTTCCTTTTACTAGGGTATTTTTATTTTTGATTTATATTTGACAAACCTCCTTTTTGTTTAACAGAAGACTACTTTTGACAGTTTTCTAGTCTACTTTATTTCAGTGATGGTTTTAAAGTTGTGTTAAGTTAGTTTTTGTGAATTTGTTGGTACATAAATGTTCTTTCAGGTGCAAATCCACAGGGCAAGATTATTGTTCCCAGTGGCCTCAGGTTTCCATGGTCCTAGGATGCGATTTCAGTGCGTTCTTAACTCATTTATGTATTAAATATTGACACGAAGCAGCATTGTCTGCTTTCTCCACCAGCTCCCATTCACCAAGAGAGTTAATACTGCGGAACAGTAATTCAAAAATAATTCATAACGAATATCAGCACAACTGGATTTTCATTTTCAAGCCACAGTATTGATAAACTTTCCCAGGTATGTGGTACATTTGTGACATTTGTTGTGATATATATACATCTAAGAACCAGATATATAAGGATTCTCACATAGGAATTTCTCATAAGGTTTGGTTGGCTCAGGTGTGTGGGGTACAGTATTTGCAAGGCAGAATAATGATTCCTCTTCCATACGGATTAGTTATATTTCTTCCATTTCCAACAGCACCCTCTTCTCTGCATCAGCCTTTTTGAATACATGTACTTTTGATCAAGGAGTGAAATAATGATGACATTTGAAAGACAATGAAAGTGAGCTCTGGCTGAGATCAAGTTGTAGTAATAAATAATAAAGTGTTTATGTTTGCCTGTTTTTCTTTTCCTTTTCTTTACCCATTACAACCTGTCATCTTCTTTGATATCTCTTCAGAATTAGGAAAATAAATCATTAGTCCTATGAAATATTGAAAGGTTTTCTTCATACCTGCCATTTGAAAGAAAATCCTCCAGGAGGTGCTGTAACTTGTTAAACTGCTTTCATAAGATTTTCTTTTGATGTTTTTCTTGCTATAATTTTTTATGAATGACATGGCAGGTAATTATTGCTGTTATTGTTGTTAGCTGCTTTCAAGTTGGGCCCTGATTCATGATGACTCCATGCACAGCTGAAGGAAACACTGCCTAGTCCTACACCACCATCCTCATTATCCATTGCCAATTGGACTGTTGTGATCCGTGCGGTTTTCACTGGCTGATTTTCAGAAGTAGATCACTAAACCTTTCCTCCATCTTTGCCCATCTTAGTCTAGAAGTTCTGCTGTAACCTCTTCAGCAACATAGCAAAATACAAACCTCCACTGAGGGGTGGGTAGTGGCTGTACATGAGGTGCATTGGTGGTTCCCTCATGGATGGCAAGAATTCTGCCACTGAACTGCCAGTACTGTGTAGATCTTTTTTCCTCTTATGGAAAGAATTGCATAATTTAAATTTTTCCCCTGCTCCTCTGTGAAAGGTGTGTGTTATTGTAGAGACATGACCTGAGGATTGTCTTGGGATAAAAGTGTTGTACAGCTATTTTCTAGAAAACACATAAATTTGGCAAGTTGAAATTGTAATAAATATAGTACAGATATTTACAGACATTTAAGCTGCCATGTCATTAATAAAAAGTCTAGTGATAAAAGCTATTGCCAAATTAACTGCATTTTTTTCCCCATTTAAAGTAAAGAAGTCAACAGCTTTATCAGTCAATAAGTGTGGAACTGAATAAACTGAAAAAAAAAAAAAAAAATAACAAACCAGAGTAATCATATTCCTCATTTTCACATCAACTACCCTGGTTGCTTCTTTTGCCCTACCTCCCCTAATAACTTTCTTCCAGCTATGTTAGTGAGGAGAACAGCAGGAGGTGGAGTGGAGAGTGAAAAGCAAATGACAGATAAATAAAATCTCTTAATATTATACAGTAACTATATAGGATTTCATTTTCTCCTTATTTTTTTTTTTTTGTTGGCTTTGTACTACCTTTACACCCTTCTCCCTAAATTGAAAACAAAACAAAAAAAATAATAAATCAAAGGTACTCTAGTATGAAACAATTCCATATACTTGATTAGCAGTTCCATTACAGAACTATGCATTTATTGTATGCATGCATAGTCAAGGATTTTCTTCAAAATCCAGAAGAGATAACGTGAGGAAGTAGTGCAGACTCAGTCATTAATGAGGAATGAGGAGGAATGTAGTTATTTGTGGGGAGAGAAGTTTGTAATTAGTCTCTCTGATGATTTCCAAAAAATAGCTAGGGAGGATTTCTAACCAGCAATTCTTTTGAGGATAGTTGCCCTCTGAGATAGAATACCCTGTGGGAATAAGCTCATAACTTGGTACATTTCCCAGCCCCTTGACTTTCTCTCTCCCCTATAAACATCTAATCCCTTTTTATCTCTCCTTCTCTTTTCATTTGCACATGTGATTAGAGGAACAAAAATCTTGAGTTTGGAAATTTTACTTCAGCAAACCCTTCTAATTTTTAGTTCTGTGTTATTTTATATATTGAACAGGGCCTACCATTTTGCTTTATAAGGTATTGTGGTGTAGTGCCTAAGGCATTTGATTGCTAACCAGAAAGCTGGCAGTTCAAACCCACCAGCTACTCCTTGGAAGGAAAATTGGGCAGTCTACTTCTGTAGAGACACTGCCTCAGAAACCCAAGGAGGGGTTGCTATGAGTCTAATTGACTTGATGGCAGTGAGTTTGGTTTGGTGTTGGTAGAAAATAAAGGACTCTTACTATTTTAACTCATTTGAAGGTTAAAGAACTTTGAAAGATAAAACTGGTTTGGGTGATAATGTTTATTCACTTACAGGTATTTACCAAATTTATTCTATATGCCACATAGTGTTTCAGGCTCTGAAGATGTATTATTGAACAAAATAAAAGAGATTCTGTCCTCCTGAAACTTATTCCCTATTTAGGGTAGAGAGAGAGAGATAAAAAACAAATGAAAGCATGTTGTTGTTGTTGCTATATGCCATTGAGTCAGACCCGACTCATAGCGACTCCTCCTTGGGTTTCTGAGGCAGTATCACTATGGAAGTAGATTGCCCAACCTTCCTTCTGAGGAATGGCTGGTGGGTTTGAACCACCAGCCTTCTGGTTAGCAGTCAAGTGCCTTAGGTACTATGCTACCAAAGCATAGGTAATTTAATTCATGTCAGGTATTAGTAAGTACTGAAGTGATATGTAGAGTGAAAGGGGTGAAGTAGGATAAATTTAGAGGGAAGCATCTCTAAGGACCTTGTTAGGTAAGATGTGAATGATGGTGAGCTATGAGTGAGGTCTGATGGAAAGCCATTCCAAGAAGAACTAGCAGCTGGTACAAAGGGCCTGGCTAGAGTACATGTGTGGCTTTAGATAAGGAGCAGCCCAAGGGCTAATGTAGTTAATGCTTAGTGAGATGAGGACAGAAAGGTCACAAGAGCCCCATTGCGTAGGGTCTCACAAGCCATGCAAGGAGTATGATATGTGTGTGTGTGTGTGTGTGTGTGTATTTAATTGGGAGCTTTTGGGAGGTTTTGTGCAGGGAAAGAACTTATTTGCTTTATATTTAACATGGATCACTCTGCCTGGTCTTTGGATAATAGAATAAAGGGGGCAGAAGTAGAAACAGGTACACTAGTTGGCTATTGCAGTAATTGAATGAGGGATATTGAGAGTAATGTGGATGAGGATGATGAGAGAAGGATAAAGAATCTATGAATGTGGAATACATTTGAGAAATAGAGCCGATAGGACCATCTAATGGGTTAGATATGGGGTGAAGGAAAAAATAAAGATTACTTCTTGGTTTTTTGCTTTAAGCAACTGGGTGGATGGATGATAGTGCCATTTTCTGAGATAGAGAAGACAGGGGTAAACTAAGGAGAGAACTGGTACCCGTTATATACTTTGCTTGAAAATAATTCTATTTACTTAGAAAACTAATACCTAGCATATTACCTGACAGACATTAGGTTTTGCTTTTTGCTGAGTAGAATGATACTGACTTTATTAGCTGATCAAAATCAGGGCCATGATACTTAATTTCAGCTATCGACAGGTCTGGTGTTGACTTTCATAAAACAGAAGTGAAAATGGAGTTTCTTTAAGAACTTAGTAATTTTATCCCATTTTCTCTTTCTCTTTCCATTCTCTGATATATCCTCACATTTGCCTTTTACTTTTCCCCCCTTCTTCTTCTTCTTTTCTTTTAATCACAAATAGAATGCTAAACTAGAGGCATTCTAAAGCTAGTGGAGTGAAACACAGCGATAGTGGTATTGCTTGCTACTTGCTGCTTGCTGTTTAGTAGATTATATTGCTGAGTTTGGGATTATAGTGCTTTTTTTTTTTTAAATCTGAAGACTTTTTTTTCCTTTTGGAACTCATTCTAATCATCTCTGTTAAGTGTGAGAAAAAATATCTTTCCTGAAAATGTTACCACAGTTTCCGAATCCTTATAAATACAAAACCCTAGTATAATATTCCATATAATTTAAAGTTTTCCATCACTGTCATGCTTCCTGTGGACAAGGCATGCCAATCTTCAGCAGAATGCTGACCACAAACCCCATAATCATTGCCTGTTTGGATGTGGATATAGGTCATTTCAAGAACAAGGCCAGTATATAATCCCTTTAAGACTCCTTTTCCTTTGAATGCCTTTATTCATAATTGGATCTCTTTTTTCTAGGTCATATTCACCAGCAGCTGTTTTTCACCAAACCATAGTTACCTTATATAATTGTGGATTATCTCTTAGCAAGCTCTTTAAGGATTTCTTCAATTATATCTATGTCAGATATCACATTATCCGTTTACCGCATAAAAAGTAAAGCAAATTTACTTGGCCCAAGGATTTGGCAGGAGTATGTGGTTATACCTACTTAATCCTTTATGAGCTGTTAGATCTTA